AGGGTGCATCGGGTTTGCCATGATGCGCGGCGTTCGTGTGGAGCCGACCTGCAGCTTTGCGCTTTAACCTTCGGGCGGAAGCAACGGCTGATCCTGCTGGGGCCTCACAATACCCAGCCACACTCACTCACTCACTCATAACTGGTCCGTCTACAACCGTTTCCTCTACCACTGACGATTGCAAGAGCGCCTCTTGTTTCTGTAGTAGGCTATTCACCGAAGAAGAAAACAGAGAGAAGTCTAAACCCTCCCACTAAACTTGAATGTCTAAACCTAAAACTTACTTCCAAAGCCCTAATCCCTAAACCCTCAACTCTTTCTCCCACAAACCCTACATTTCAAACCCTAAACCCTAGACCCGAACCCCCCAAAAAAAAAACTCGACGATAACAGGAGGGACTCTTGGACCCTAAACCCTAAACCCTAAACCCTACAGGAGGCGCTCTTGGAACTGGAAGGCCCTGCTGTGCGACCCTTTCCGCTGCCGTGGATGCTGCGAGCAAGCCAGGCGCTGGATGCGACGGATGTTCGTTCCTTGTGGGGTTCTATGGGGTTTCTAATAGGAGTCATACCGGATTCTACAAGTGTGTATTGAAGTTATTTTTATTGCAGGTTTTTATGGGAGTTCAATCGTGTTCTACAAATGCCTTTTTTCACGACCCAGGGCTTTGGGAGCGATTGGAGGTGGGTTTGTAGGTCCTAGGTGCAGGGAGCAGAGTGGGGAGGGTCCTTTTCGTATCTGGTATCTTGGATTTATTGCCGTTGCCACTACCAATGGGTTTGGGGTTTAGCTAGCTCTGCAGATGTTGTTTCTATGAAGACAAGCAGAGCCTCAATGCCTATAGCCTGAATCCGACGCCTACACAGGGGATAGTGCGCGCGGTGGATTCCATGTTATTGGAGAGATGAGATTTTTGGCGACCTGACTTTTGACAACTTCTCATGTTCATGATTCACCCCAAGTGCCACATCCATTTGACCCCCGTGAATCGTCGTGACAACGCCTTTATGATGTTGTGGGGTGTGTATGGAGGCTTTATGCAGCTTAAAGCTTCTTAGTTGGGGTTTATGGGGATTTATGGTGCTTACAGGGGGGTGCTCGGGTTCAGGGATCAGGGTATGGTATCAGGCTTTTGGGATCAAGATTTACGAGAAATTCCAGCGCTGCATTGCGTCACGTTGATGTTGATGAGCGTTGGAACTGAGCAGCCATGACAGTTTGTTGATGCTTCCGCCGTGCCTGCATAGGTGCATGAAAGGCTCCACAAGAGGGGTTGGCTGTAGGAGTCGTAGTCATTTGTTGAGCTGTTGTGTGCTAGATTCCCTGCTCGTTCAGTTGTTTCGTTACCCGGAGACTCTGGCCCAAGTCCATTTTGGCCACTTTACCCTCAGAGCTTTTAAAGAATGCAGTGCCCAAAAACGACCCTCGATGGTCGGATTATATGCATCCTCAACAGGGACACCAAACAAGAGTCGGAATAGTAGGTAGTAGGATCCTTGTCCTAAAGCCTAACCACCATATTACTTGAAGTGGCCTCTTTGGTCCCATCATATGGGGGGTTTCCAAAAATAGGGGACCCTAATATAATAGCCGAAATAGTAGGATCCTTATTATAAGCACCGCAAAACAAGGTACCCCTAATTTTCGGAAACTCCCATCTTCGCGCTGGGTTTAGGAGGTAAAGGTTTTGGGGCTTAGGGTCGGAGTTTACAATTGGGGCCCGAGCCTGACCAGATCACGAGTCTGAGTGATCCCCTGATTAGAAGGGTTTTAGGGGTTTAAGGGTTTAGGGCTCTAGGGTTTAGGGGTTTAGGGTTTAGGGTTTAGGGTTTAGTAATTAGTAGCACTTGCAGCAATCTGAGGTCTACGTCCATGATCACGGATGGTACTGTTATTTCTTTTGCACTCGTGGCCCGTTTGCCTGCTGAGACCTAATCGGGACATTTCTTGAGCCAAGAGGGTGAAAACTCAGGAACAGATGAGGTTGAAATCATATGGGTAGTTCTCTAAATTAGGGTCCCTTTTAGGGTCCGTTTTATAAGGGTGCCGTACTATAGTGGGGACCCCAAACGGGACCCTAATTTAGAGAACTAAATATGCTGATATAGTTTGGTGTGGGGTTTAGGAATAATGAGGATTCGGTCCTGAAGTGTAATTGTGTCGTGAGTTCAGGATTTGTAGTTTCGGGTTCTCGCAGATTCTTTCGTTAAAAGGTTTAGGGTTTAGGGTTTAGGCGAGCTTTTGCCATCTAAGAGTTGTTGGTATCTATGCTAAACCCTGAAGCCGTAGTAGCCCCCAAACCCCAGATTACCATTCCGAGCCTGAAGCAATATGTAACAGTGTTACAGAGTCGGAGTTGCTAGGTTGAATCAAAATGTTCTTAAACCCAAACCCCGAACCTTAAAGGACTAAAACCCTCAACCCTGAAGGGTTTAAGGTTTAGGGTTAGGGTTTAGGGTTTCGGGTTTAGGGTTTAGGGTTTAGGGTACTAAAACCCTCAACCCTGAAGTGCTCAAACCCTAAACGCCCTAAAGTACCAAACAGCCCTACGCAGTGTCTTTTCCAGAAGTTGTGCGGCGCCCTAGCACCTATCAGTCCAGGGTTTCGGATCTCGTGTTTAGGGTTTAGGCTTTAGGGTTCAGGGTTCAGGATCTCGGGTCCATTTTGCTCGCCTCTAGGATTTTGGGGACGCGTGTATACAGCTGGTTTGGGGTTCAGAGCTTGTGGGGTTAAGACCCTTTAAAATTTACCCTGAGTATGCAAGCCAATAACCCGTTGTTTGGAGAATCTCCAATATAGAGATCGGAAGAAGCAGCAATCTTTTCCCATTGCAGTCCTTATAGAGTTATACCGAGTTATCCCTGAACCTTAAGCCCGAAACTACTACCAAATACCCTAAACCCGAAAGCCTAAACCCTAAAGCCTTAAAGCCCCACTTAGTCGGATCCCATGGGTGAGGTCAGAAGTAGCTTCCTGGACGTGTGGAGATGTCTTGAAGTTCATGAAGCATGTGTCCATAGCTGAACTGTTAACTCAGTTGTCCTGTTACTAGACTTTTCGCCCTACCGGTTCTGAAGCCTCAGAGCAGTTCCGGCGTGCAACATGTCGATTGCTGTGGAAGTTGCACTGCTCAGCGGCAACACAACTACTGTGGACGTAGGTTTGGATGAACAGCTGGAAATGCTGATGCTTCGGGCGCAGACGGCACTTGGGGTTGGCAGAGGGCGACTCGTGGACTCATCCGGGAGCGTTCTAAAAGCATGTGCTTCGGTCAAGGATTCCAAGGTGCAGAATGGTGATCTATTGACGCTTCACGTGAGCCGAGTTCAAGTCTGTGCCACCGAAAACGCTTTTGCAGCCCTGCTTGGTGATGGTTCTGTCGTGAGCTGGGGTGATGCCTTCTATGGTGGCGACAGTAGCGGTGTGCAGGATCAGCTGCAGAACGTGAAGCGGATCCATGCCTCGCAGCATTTTTTCTCTGCCATTTGCGAGGATGGATCCGTCGTGACTTGGCCTTCTGCTCCTCCGTACGGTCGTAACAGAATTTCTGAAAATGCTGTCAAGGATCAGCTGAGGACTGTGCAGCAGATCCAAACTACTCTAACAGCTTTTGCAGCCATCCTTGGCGATGGATCCGTGGTGGCATGGGGTGATGCTGAGGGTGGTGGTGACATTCGCCCCGTGCAGGATCGGCTGAAGAATGTGCACCAGATCCAAGCCAGTGGATTGGCTTTTGCTGCCATTCTTGGGAATGGATCGGTTGTGACCTGGGGCTGTGCCCGCTCTGGTGGTGACAGTAGCTCTGTGCAGGATCAGCTGAAGAATGTGCAACAGATCCAAGCCAATCGCCATGCATTTGCTGCCATTCTTGGTGATGGATCGGTCGTGACCTGGGGTGGCGCTCGTGATGGTGGTGACAGTAGTGCCGTGCAGGATCAGCTGAAGAATGTGTGGCAAATCCACGCCTCCCGCTCCTTTGCTGCCATTCTTACCGATGGATCCGTCGTGACTTGGGGTGCTCTTCAGTACATGGACGGCAGTGACAGCGCGGTGGTGAAGGATCAGCTGAGGAATGTGCAGCAGATCCAAACCAGTGGATTCGCTTTTGCTGCCATTCTCGGGGACGGATCTGTCGTCACCTGGGGTTCTGATGGCAGCGGTGGTGACAGTAGTGCTGTGACAGATCAACTGAAGAATGTGCAGCAGATCCAAGCCACTAAGAACGCTTTTGCTGCCATTCGTGGCGATGGATCCGTCGTGACCTGGGGTTTTGCTCACTATGGTGGCGACAGTAGTGCTGTGCAGGAACAGCTGCAGAATGTGCAGCAGATTCAGGCCTCACACCGTGCTTTTGCTGCCATCCTTGGTGACGGATCCATCGTGACCTGGGGTGATGCTGAGTTCGGCGGTAACAGCTGCGCTGTGCAGGATCAGCTACGGAAGGTGCAGAATATCCAAGCCACTGCACTTGCCTTTGCTGCTATTCTTGAAGATGGTTCTATCGTTACCTGGGGGTCTGCTAAATGTGGCGGTGACAGTAGCTCGGTGCAGGATCAGCTGAGGAATGTGCAGGTCCCGAAATACACCCTGTTCGGACAAGTACCCAATTCTCGTGACTTGGGGTCACGGTCGGCTTCGTGGCAACAGTCGTTCCAGGATCAGCTGACGAACAGGCAGCATTGAAATCTCAAAATGGGTAGCTTTTCCAGCAGCAGCCTTCCAGCAGTCAGTACCGAAGTTTTTTGACCTGCAACACCCGAGCCCCTCGACCCAAAGCCCAACACCCCAAGCCTCGGTACAACCCTGTAGAACCCAATACGAGCCTCTTACACACCCGAGAAAAAAAGCCACCTGAACTGAACCTATGGACCCGATCCCTGATTTTTCAGACCCTTCTTGCAGGCATTCACGAACCTTCAGTAGCTGCTTGGTTTGGGGCATTGGGGTTGGACTTTAACGGGTTTATGCCGGGCAGCTAAGTTGAAAAGAGCCCCAGAAAGAACAACCTAAGCTCTTAGCCCTAAACCTCAAATACCCCAAACTACCTTCGATGTACATGTGCATGAAGACACACGTACTTAGGCAGAGCAAAACGGTTTTTGTGTGTGTGTGTATGCATGTGTATATATACATGTGTATATATATATATATATACGTATATGTAGATATGTATATACGGTGGCGTACATACAGGCACATCAAGCTGCAGGTTGGTTATATTTATATATGTTTATATGTATTTCGTCATGTACATGGCAAGTGTCTGCAGTTGTATGCATGTGTGCATGTGTGTGCCTCTCGATGTCGATGGGGGTAAACATGTGCACATTTGTTTTTTCCTGTGTCCTCTCTCTCTTTCTAGATGTATATATATATATATATACATATGTATATAGAGAAGATGTACACAAATACTTACATGTAGATATATATATATACACATTCGTGAACGTTTGTGTATATATGTCTAGGTGCATGTACATGTGCATGCAAGGCATGCATCTGCATGTTGAACGGTCCCTCCGTCCGTGCGCCAGCTCGTCGGTCTGTCTGTCTGTCTGTCTGCCTGCCTGCCTGGATGGCTGTCTGTCTGTTTGTTTGTTTGTTTGTTTGTTTGTTTGTACGTGCACGTTGCCGGCTAAAACAAACAAGTCATCGAGTGGACAGGCATTTCTCTCCATCTTAATGTCCAACCCAACTTCTTTCCCGATGTCTATATCCAGCACACAACCCGACGCCTTAGCCGCCTTAGCCCTTTTCGGTACCTAGACACCCTGCAACCAACCTTTAAACAGGAACCCGATTCTAGTTATCAAGGCCCCCGCATCCATGTTTTCGAGGCGGCTAGATCTCTTCTGGCCCGTGCTGCCGTGTCCAGCCTCACAACGAGGGAGCCCGCTTCGCAAACGCGCCGGGGACTGCAATGTGCAGCTTCGGGTTCAGGGCTTCGGGTTTGGGGTTTAGTGGGCCGGCAGCTTCATGCGTTCTGTTGAAGGGCGCACGGGTTCAGGCAAGTAAAGCCTAATCAGCTTACTCCCTAAAGCTTAAATCTCAATTCTAAGGATCGTGGCCTGGCTGGCTCACCGACTGGCACGACTGCCGCCGTGCAGGGGCCGACTTGGGGGCGTCATGTCGCGTGGCTTTGGGCTAAGAGGGTTTAGGGTTTACAGTTTTTTTGGGTTTTCAGTGTTTAGGTTGGCTGCTTTTCGGCTGGCATAGTCTGGGCTTACAGGTAGAGCATAGGGTTTAGAGTCCAGCATGCTAGTATGAGATTCCTCTTTTAGAGTATAGCGTAGGGTTATCAGGCTTTAGCGTTTTTTTATGGGACAATAGGAGGGACCCCTAATCCTAATACCCTATATAACCCTTGTATACCCCTTATATAGTCTCATAAAGCCCCTATATAATCCCAAGGGTCCCTTTAAGGGTCCCTCCTTTAATCCCTTGTTTTTTTGTCTGGTTAGTGGAATCCTCCTTAGTGGTTCGAAGGGAGGCTGCGAGGGTCGCATCGGGCTTTCGACGGCTTTGCGGGTCGTCGCAGGGTTCTTGGGGAGATGTCGCCCCTAAACCCTAAACCCTAAACCCTAAGCCCTAAACCCTAAACCCTAAACCCTAAACCCTAAGCCCTAAACCCTAAACCCTAAACCCTGAACCCTAAGGCCCAAACCGTAAGGCCCAAACCCGGAGGCCGCCAGAGCCTCAAACCCCAAAGTCCCAAAGCCTCGGGCTTTAGGGTTTAGGGTTTAGGGTTTCGGATTTCGGGTTTAGGGTTTAGGGTTTAGGGTTTCGGATTTAGGGTTTAGGGTTTAGGGTTTAGGGGAATCCTGACCCCCCGAGGAAGGAAGATCCGCCCTCCCTGGGCGCTTACATCCGACCAGTGCAGGTCGAACATGACAGGCTCCCCCTGGGCTGGCCAAGGGTTGCGTCACACATGAAGGGTTTCCTTCAAGGGCTCCTTTAAGGGTTCAGTGAGGGTACTGTAGGCTTTGGGGTTTGGGGTGTACGGAGTTTGGGTTTATGGCTTGGGGAGGCTCTCGGGGGCTTCCCCCCAAAGATTTTGGGGCTTTAAGGTCACGGTCTAGGGATTTTGGCTTAGGGTTCAGGGCCTAGGGTTTAGGGCTTAGGGTTCAGTTTTGAGCCCCTCAGAGCTGCTCACTTGGGCCAGGTGGAAGATGGTATAGGCTGCTTGAGGTTGTTGAGTGAGGCCTTACCGGTGGTGTACTACGACATACCTCCAAAACCTGATTCTGACGATTACTAAGGCCGCTGTACTACCGCGATTGCCGTGAAGGTTCTTCGACTTAAAGGTTTATGGAATTACATAGCTAGGGTTATAAGTATGGTAATTATGCCAACAATCACTTGTATTGTAACCCCAGTTAGGGTACTTATAACATTGCGGCACTTTTAACTGTACGTACTAAAGCCCATGAACCTCCAAGTACTTGGTGACGAGTGTGACAAGAGGCGTTGGGTCTTGGGGGCTTTTGCGGTCTGAGGGCTTCAGTGGGTGAGTACGGGGTGACAGGGGTTCAGGGCCTCAGGGTTATGCTTGTAGGATGGAGGGCTTTAGTCCTGGAGTTCAAGGCGATCTGAGTTCGACGGTTTTTGGGGCGGATTCATATGGGCTCCAGGGTGCTTTCGAGCAACGGCTGTGGTTCAGGGATTGATTGGGGTGGCTTTGGTGTAGGGGTCTAGGGTTACCAAAAGCTTCCTGCCGCGTTCATTGGGCGTCGTCGGGGCTGTATGAGATTACAAGGACGGGCTTTGTTGGTTGTTGTGGCTGCTGTTTTCATGGTTCAGGTTCACCTAAACCCTAAGCCCTAAACCCTAAACCCTACAGTAAACCCTAAATGTCATCTCACCATGGCAGAGTACGAGGCTTTCTATCGAGCTTGGGATGCAGGACATGTCACTGTGGAGAAGATCGAACTTCAGCCTGGGTCAGGGATTCGGGAGATGTTAATGTAGAAGCCTTAATAATTAGAATAGGGTTTTGGGGTATAGTATACCATAATAGGGAACGCCCAAAACCTTATTCTAAGTATGAAGACCCCTATATTAGTTCCTTACTGAAGGGGCTCGGGGGTCTCTTCGAGCTCGAGAGGGGGGGGGGGGCTTGGCACGCTTGGCTTTTTTGTTTTTGCCCCAAGGGGTTCCGCAGGCTTAGGGCTCAGGCTTTAGTGACTTTAGTGTTTAGAAGCCCTAATCCTTGCCCCCCTAAACTCTTAAACCCGACGAATACCCCGAATGCCAGGTCATCCCATGCAGAACGCCAAGCTCTTCTCTCACTGCTGGTGCTCGAGAGCAACGCAGCAGATGTGAACAGGCCGGTGGATCCCAAAGAGTCAGAGAGTCTAAACTCCCCGGTTTAGGGTTTAGGGTTTAGGGTTTAACTTCTTCTTGTGTCTTTCTTCTGCGGACTTGAGAGCCGTCGAGCGGCGCGTTTCAAGCAACATGAATTCGGTTTGGGGTTATTGTCTAACCTCGCGAGCACAAGCTGCTTGATGAAGCTTCCCATGTAAAGATTACCCTAAACCCTAAACCCTAAACCCTAAACCCTAAACCCTAAACCCTAAACCGTGGTAGCCTGCAGACGTGCCTTTTCCCCATGGGGCTATGATGCTAAGGCACTGGGGTCTGGGCCATACGGTGCGCTACTGCAGCATTTGATCCCAGGCCCTACCACCCCTTTAACTAGGGCAACTAGGGAATATGCCTGAAGTTTTAGAGGGCAGCATAGAAGAATTCAATATGTGTGTGTGTGTGTATATATATATATATGTATGCGTAGACGTACGTACATATACATATATATGTGTGTATATATGTATGTATATATATATAGACATACGTACATGACAGATGTACATTGGGATCTTGGGGGATTTACTTCCCCTGAACTCTTTCAGGTTTTAAACCCTGGGTATCTCGGCATTTTCAGGTTTGGTAGTGCAATATACCGTGCAACACAACAGGATGATAAGAAAGTGAGTTTAGGGTTTGGGGTGGGAACAGCAGCAAATGTCTGAATAATGCTGACACTTGTTGTAATTGCCAACAGAATGCAAAGTCACAAAGAGGGTGGCAAGCAAGCTGTAGATGCGTGGCCAGGGATGGCAGCCTGGACTTCAGCGGCTTCAGCGGGACAGTGAGACTTTATGTTACGCACACGTTGTGTATCTCCTGTCTGGCAGCATGTCACCAGTACAAAGCCCTTCATCCGCGCCTTCACATGAGCGTCACATACAGTGTTCTCTGAGGAGTGCAAAGAACATTCCGGCCGAATCGTTTCTGACCAAAAGAACATGGGCCTTCAAGCGCTCGCTCCATGACCTCCGGTTTGATCTCAAGCTTTGCCCAAGCCCGACACCAAAACGCAACGACAATATCATTCAGCAAAGCCTCAGAGACCACTTATATATGTAAAAAGCTTTTGCTGCGAAATCTTGCCCTAGATCTCAGCTATAAAAGCCTACACCTCAAACACTAAAGCCCCACAACCCTAAACCCCAAAATCCGCATCCTCCGGCTCAAAAAAGCCTCACTCGCCTCACCTTCGGTGACGGCGCTTGGGCCCCGCCAGACACCCGGGGATGGAAAGTCAAAGTCGAATTCCGCAGCGCTTCTCCGTTGTTGACTTTTGGGTTTAGGATTTAGGGTTAAGGGTTTGGGGATTTAGGGGTTTAGGGATTTTAAGTTTTTGAAAGGGTCAGCGCTACAAGGGCTATTAAGAGGCTTCTATAAAGGTTGTTATGAGGGTTGGTAAAATGATTACTATTGCAGTTTGAGGGTTTAGGGCTTGGTATTCGGGTGTTTAGGTTTTGGGGTTAGGGGGGGCAGCAGAATTCCAATTCCGGTCCAAGTCCAGCTCACACTGGCTACTCCTCGGATATTCGCATTGATCGAACAAGCAGTACTAGGGTTTAGGGGCCTCGCGAGTACCTGCGCTACGCTGTCCGATCCCCAATGTTTTTCGTTGTGCAGCCCGGCATCCGCAGGGGATGGCCAAAAGCACCCTAAAGCTTAGGCTTAAATCCTAAGCCTATCTAAACCGTCTAGCGCCGGTGCTGGAGTCCTTAAAACTGTCAGGTCCCAAGGCCATACGGATAGTTCTCCGAATCAAGGTCCCTCCCAAAGCAAACGGACAGGCAATGGCATTGTGGGCGTTGTCTCGTTTCTTTTCGCAGAGCTCGGACAGATGTATACTTGACATGCTTTTTACTCGATACAACGTTCGCCGCAAACGACGATTTCCGCTTCCATCGTGAGCATAACGAAGCACTCCCTCGTAACATTCAATGTGCGAGCGGAATCCTGGCAGCACTCAGGATCCATTTACAATGGATTCCGATTTGCTGTGGTAGGCCTTAAACACAACAACTCATGCCCACATTGTGGTCAGGAGGAGTCACTCTCGCCCTCCCCGAGGTGATGAGTCTTTTTTTTTGGGTCACCGGGATTTTCTTCGAGCCTCCGGAGTACTATAAAGACTTTCCGGCGATGCGGGAAACTTGGAAGGTACCTCCGATTGAAATGCGCTGATGCCCACATTCTGAAGTTTTTGTGGGCGGTAGCTCAAATACTCGGTAGCTGTGCAGGGCGCATCTGTAAACTCGTTTCGCTGTGAGCTTTTTGCCTTGATTTTGGCAATACACATGACAGCAGGTGATGTTGTTATTGCCTCTGACTGCACTACTGTTCTCCGTTGTGCAAAGTTTTTACAAAGTCATAGTTTTTTGTGGGACTGTACCTATCAGTTCGACAGCCCCGACTTATTTATGGGAGATGTTCCTAGATGTAGCAAGGATGCACGACGGGAACATTGAGATTGCCAGAGTCAACCGCAAAGCTCATATACCAATGGACACGGTGGTCAGCGCCCAGTACTCACAGCCGGGAAAGAAGAGGTTGATGCCTTGGCCAAAGCAACGGCCACAGCTTTATCCTCGAAACTCATCATCAAATTCCAGCCTGCCTTCAGACGGCGGTTGCCGTCCAGGCACGTCTTATTGCCACTCTCGTTAACCGTACCAATGCCCGCCAGCTGGCACCTTTTGACGAAGATGACAAGCCACCAGCCGGCTTGATCCAAATAGTCGTTTGCACCTGCAAACCCCGACGTCGCTTAACCACCAAGACCCCCCGGATCTGTTACATGTCATGTCACATGCACGGGCACTCGGTACTTGTAGGTGACGTCGAGAGTAGAATACTTCAATCCTATGTATGTCATGAGACGGTCTGTTTGAGCTCCTACACCAAAGATACTTGAGTTTCTTGACGAGCCTTCAGCCTGAAGGCGTTGTTTTGTCAAGTTGCAAGGGCTTTGTGTTGTACCTGTTCGTACTTGTAAAAGACTTATTCCCTTGGCAGCTGCCCAAGCTCTTGCCAGTTTCCTTCCTGGCACCTATGGTTTCTTTCCAGGGTTCCTGTCACCGGGCATGACCGCCCGAATCTTAGTTTCCCGTTTCCGATCGTATTTCTTGCGGCTTTGTAGTATCCTGTGACTCATGTCAAGACTGCAGCGGCATTTGGGTATGACAAATATGAGTGATTTCTAAGGCTCCATGAAGTGCCGTCCCCATCAGCTTTACATCTTCCTTTCCCTTTGGACAACAGCAGCAATGGCACCACATGGATACCGCAGTTCCACGGCTTTAGTAGCATTCCGCCTTGTTCGTTTGTTCTTTGCATCCATTAAACTCGCCTGAAACGGTTTGTATCGTCTTCAGTCGACAGGTCGCGGCCTCCGACACAACGTGCAGCAAAAAATCAAAGTCCTTTTTCGGTCCCCAAAACAGTACAGCACCATTATACAGGGAACCAAAAAGGACCCTGATCTAGAGAACTACCCATACATGCAGTGACCACTGCACGGAACTGCTCGCCTAAGCCCGCTCCACGACTCAGGCCCGGCAGCCCCGAGCAGGGGTCGGCCGCCATGAAGGTGGACATTTTTGGATGCTCTACTTTAGGGTTTAGGGTTAAGGGCTTGGGGGCTTTTTTCGGTAGCGTTAGAGGGCCATGAGCTTTTGGGACTTGACATGAGTCTTTACGGTGTTGGTTTATGGTTCGGATTTTGATTCTGTGTTGTCCGGGCTGGCAAAGTCTGTCTCTTGTTTTTGTTGTACCTTCTGTGTGAAGCAGGGTCTTACTTCCGTTGCAAAGAAACAATGTGCGAGGCAGCAGTGCCGAGCCTTGTACCTCTTGTTATGTATTGTGCAAGGGCTGGGGATGCGTCTTGAACACATCTACCGTGAGCCCGTTCAATGACATGGTCAGTGCTACAGGGCCCCCTTTATATGACAACAGTGGGGTCTTGGGTCAGTTTCGCCGTGAATATGTTGAGGGCTGCAGCTCATCAATACGGATTGATTGGAGCGAGTTTGGACTGAGTGGATGGGCGGGGCCGCAAAATCCTGTTGTAAGCTTTGAGGCTTCAACAACCCCAAACTTCAAAAACCCCACAACCCTGAACCCTACCGGCCCCGAACCCGAAACCGTAACCCTCAACCCGTAAACTTTAAATCCCACGGTGGCCCTCGACCTGAAGTCTGAAGCCGAGCGCTCTAATAGCCTTAGGTTCGAAACCCCGAAGCCCTAAAAACCTGTAAGGCCCTAAGCCCTAATCCTCCATCCCACGCCCGACAGACCTTAAAACAGATCCCGAGGCAATAAAGGCTGTCTCTTTGAGAGGGCACTGCGCCATGGATAGACGTTCCTAAACTCGCAAGCGCTAGAGCACCCGAAATCCTATGCCCAGAGCTTTGCCCCCGCAAGAATGTGTTCGTTTTGTGGTAACACTCAAACTAGCCGTCTACTCGAAAAGAGTTGCCCCTGTATTTAAATTAAAGGCAAAGCCTAAACTGTAAACCCGGAACCCTGGCCTCTAAACCACAAAACCGAAAGCCTAAACCTTTAAACCCATTTATGCCATTTTTTCACCTCGCCCACCCGCCCCCACCTCCTCCAAAAAAAGAAAAAGAAAAGTAACGAACACGAGCCTGTACAAAGCCGTTTTGCAGCTCGTATAGGGCCCGCAAAAAAAGCCGTTCTCGAAGCCCTAAGCCTGAAAAACCCTAAACCCGAACCCCTTACAGTAGCACGGTACCCCAAAGCTGTTGCATGAGTTGCTATGAGAGTTTGATTCCCTAAACCCTAAACCCTA